ATGCACTTTTAGCTCCATTGCCTTGAGCCCAAATCCTAAGTTGACCAAGCGCCAAATGAAGATCTTCTGGTAGCATTTCTTTCTTAAATGTTATAGCTTTTATTTTGGGAGTTTCATCTTTTTTTACATTATTTTTTAAATCCATATTCATTGCCTTGACATTTTCTCGCAAACTAAATAAACCTTTTTCTGGAATATATCCTTTAAATTGTCACCAGGATCGTTGTCAGCTTCGCATGTAAATCTTGATCAAATGCATTAACAAATAATCTTCTGTTTCTTTTGATAATTCTATATGATTACGTGTGAATTCTAAAAGTGATTCTTGTTTTTCATATGCTATTCGCAAAAGGCCATTAAACTGCTCCTTTAAAGGTTGATTGCTTACAAAATTCTTATCAATATAAGTTAGGATATTTGGCCTATATTCGATATGTTTTTCAAAGAGTTGAAGAATAAGTGACTAAATAATACATGAATTGAATGAACTCAGTCTCTGGAATAACTGTTGTTGTCTTTGAACGAGTTTCATATATATATTCCACCTGTTAGAACTAAGAACATTTAGATATGACTTGATCTTTGCAAATTCATCATATGCTAATATTAATTTATCACTTTTTGTTAGTTTATAGATAGTCCATCTGATAATATATTGAAATTTCGATGCTTCGGCTGCTTCCAAGTCAATAATTTTTTTTGGTATAGTTCACGATTCTGCATAATTTGAAAAGGGCTGATCATGATGTACGTTGTGTGTTTGTCTAAATGTGTTTCTTATAGTCTTTTTGAGTAAAATATAAGCTACTAACCACTAGGTTTCTACATTAATATTGTTTGGGACCAACAATTGAAAGTCTTTAAACCAATTACCAGCACATTTATAATTATTTAATCGACTTTCCAGATTTGTCGACCATGTTATAAGCCATTGGATATTTTTTTTAATGGAACAGAATCAAATGCCATCTGATGTATATTTTTTGACCAAGTCATTAAAAGATCTTCCACATC